CACCTCCGAATTTTCTTATATACTTCTAAGGTATAAATAATTATATATCATTAGAAAAGTATTTTGATGCTGATGTGCAGACAATTTTTGAAATTTCGAATTAGTTTAACATAAATGGAAAAAATCAGTTCAAAAGTGACACCAATACAAATGCCATACATGTACAATTTACATTGTATATGGTTGGGCGGAAATGCCACCTTAATGTATGTAACCTTGACTCTTTTTCAATAAATTAGCGCTTAAGCTATGCTGCAAAAATTTTACTTTAGGCGCAAATTTACCAAATGCAGACGAACCTTAGAGGCATAATCTGAGGCGCAAATTTTTTGACAAATAGTCAAGGCTGATTATTTGTCAAGTGCACAGAATTGGGGTGGTAAGGTCATACAAGGAAGAGGGTGAAGTAGAGTATGTAGAAGAAAAACAGGAATAAAGGCAAAGATTACAATAAAAGTAAAGAAACCTAAACATAAAGACAAAGAGGAAAGTAAATATAATAGCAAATGTATGGGTGGATATGTACCTGAAGAAAATAATGGAGATTAAGATCTGGATAAAATTCAAGGGAATGATAAATATAAAAATGAAAATATTAAAAAACGGTAGAGCCAAAGATAGAGCTAGAGAAAGTAATATAGATAAAGGAAGGGACAAACAAAAAGAAGATAAAATTGAAAATGACATGTTATGTTGTATTGTATTGTGCCGTGTTATACTACTTTGTGTTGTGTTGGGTTATTTGGTGTGGTGTTGTGCTGTGTTGTGTTGTGCTGTGGTGTTTCGTGTTGTGTTGTGTTATGTTGTGTTGTGTTGTGTTGTGTTGTGTTGTGTTGTGTTGTGTTGTGTTGTGTTGTGTTGTGTTGTGTTGTGTTGTGTTGTGTTGTGTTGTGTTGTGTTGTGTTGTGTTGTGTTGTGTTGTGTTGTGTTGTGTTGTGTTGTGTTGTGTTGTGCTGTGTTGTGTTGGCCAAGCCATCGTCTGCGGTACTCGCCGTCGCCAACGCGTAAAGGTCCGTTAATCTTCCGCAAAATCGTTCTCTCCAAGACTCCAAGAGCCGCCTGATCGGATGTTGTCATTGTCCATACTTCTGCGCCATATGCCAGCACGGGCATGATGACAGCCTTGCCAGCTATACGGATATCCTCGTACGGTACGCATTTCTCCGTCCGGTACGGATTTGCAGGGGTAAAAATGGTTGTACAGATTCAGCGTACGGATTTTTAGCTTTCCGTCAAAATGTACGGATTTTTGGAGGGTATTTTCATATTGTAAAAATTTGCCTGCTTTACACAATGTATCTCATAGGTTTCTTATAATTCAGGAACCCTAAATTTTTTTTTATTAAAAAATACGTCATTTTCGTACTTAAGGGATTTATCTATTAACAGCTTGACTATTTTTCACCCGATTTTAAAACTCAAACATGAAAAGAGGATTTATAGGCCTTTAAAATTATGAATAACAATCTATTGGTAGACTTTGACTGTTGGGAGTTTTTGTCGCGTAAAATTAAAAAAACCTTAATGTTGTTTATATTTTTAAATTTAACTATCGCTTCAAATATTAAACTGTTACTCGGTAAGGTCGACAACCTACCAGAAAAGTTTTGTTAGATGCACAGAAGCTAATGGCATTTTCAACCATTTTTTTGAGCTTGAGGCCGTTTTTAACAACAGCAACAATAATTTTGAATAAATGGTAGAAGGGATAGCTATTTAGGAAATCACCACACTTCCTTATGAGGCCTCACTCAAGCTCAATAAAAATTGTTGAATATATTTGATATAAGGCCATAAAATAACAAAAGCTAATGGCGTATTCTTTTCTACCAAAAATGTGGCCTTCTCATTGGCCTCTACGCACTGTGGTGTATCAGAAATGCATATCAACATAACAAAGTTCCACACGCGCTAAAAGTGCATTAAACTTATTTTGTCGCTAATGTAAACAAATTGTGGTTCAGACAAAATATTACTGAATGCTTCATCTCTGTTTACATTGCATTTTCCCATAAGCAGAAGCATATATATTTCTGTGTGTTTAACAGCACATACATATGTTTGCATGACTAGTATGTAAGAATTAGAGTAAATATGTATTATAGTTACGGTGACCATCCGTTCTGTTTTTTGCAGGACCGTACTGTTTTTTAAAGGTCTGTCCTGCGTAGTTTTTCAAAACAGAAAACCCCCAAAATGTACTGATTCTTTCCTAGCGTCCTGCCTTTGCCCCGCATTTTCTTCGCTATCTTAAAATTAACTTTTCCTAATTGAAATAAAAGCAGTGTCGATAACTAATTGATAACTACATAAGGGTAAGCTGGTTTTGAAGGTTCAATGCGTTCTAAATAATGTACGGTTATGGACAATGGATGACGAGAAATTGAAGACCAGCATCGAATATATCGATAAAACTGTTCTACAACTTTTGCTTTAATCGCTTAAGAAAAAAAATATTTTTCAAGCCAATTTTCCTTTAAAACAAGCGTTTTCGTAATTTTTTCGAAAAACGTGTTTTTGGTATATTTCGAACCTGTTCGTCAATATCTCATGAAAAAATTATCCAATATTTCCAGTATTTTTTTCGTGTTCAACGACCCAAAGTTTGCCTAAAAAAATTACTTTACAGATGTTCATATTTCGTGTAAAGTAATATGTAATATGCCTTATTATAATTTTGTAAATATTCATTACCAGGGAACGGATTTTTAGGACCTAAAACCCTGTAAAAAAGACAAAATAAAATAACGAAATAGGCTGGAAAAGGCAAAATAAAGTAGCGAAAAAGGCAGGAAAAGGCACTATGTATTACAAAAAAGGCAAAACCAAATAGCGAAAAAGGCAGGAAAAGGCACTGGGTATTGCAAAAAAAGCAAAATGAGGCACTAAAAAAAGACAGAAAATACGAAGAACAATCAAAAAATACATTTATTTTAGAAATGTTTATATTACAAATAAAAAGAGAAAAACTATGAACTAGTTTCATTATATGAAAAATTTGTACTTTGAATCTTTGACTATTTTATCCTTTCGACTTTCTAACTAATAAAACTTTAATCTGTATAGTTGTAGTAACATTGAACCACAAGATGCATTTTGAAGTTTTCTGGCAGCATTTTCATTCGATTTTCGCGAAGAAAATTCTTAAATATATTAAACGTGTGCTCGATGTGAGTTAATACAAGTGGCGCCCAATTTAAATAAAGAACGTTTGAAACGTTCATATTATCAGGAATAAGGGCGTTTTCCTCGCCCTTTACAATTTTATCTACACCCCTTATTGTCTCCAAGCCTACGTTAGCTGAGAAAACGGCGTTGAATTTTTCCAACACCAATTTGGCAAGAGGTCCTTACGCTTCTATAAGCCGCATGGGCATGTGTATATTTTTTAATCTTAAAAAAAAAATTGTAAATGCTATAATCACTTTTTTAAAGGTAGAAAAGGCAAAAAAGGCAAATATCTTAGAAAATGCAAAAAAAAGTAACATCAAATGTGTATATATGGAATCAGGGAAAGCTAAATCGTGGACATTCTTAATCGAATATACTCTATCTCTTTAGCAGAAAAAAAGGCAATTTCCATAAAATCCCTTCCCTGTTCATTACTAAAAGATTAATACCATTGAAGCAAATGTGATATATGTTTAAAGTTTAAGATTGGATTAATAATTAAGAAATACACACTCTTCGTTATATGAATAGCGCATCCTTTTAATACTTAGTAGGTACAGTTTTCCTTTTGTCTTTTTAATATTCATCAACTTTTTATAAAAATATAGCATATTCTACGTCTACATCCCATTTAAAAAATTTTTGAAAATTAAAACAAAATAAACATAGGGGCCAAATTTTTTTTCGGTTGACGGTGCTGCGCATTTTCTTCCATATAAAAACTTTGTCAAGCATACTTTGTATGGTAGAAAATCAAAAAAAAAGGTGCGCTATTCAAATGACGAGGAATGTATATATGTAGTATATTTTTGTTATTTTTATACTACGCAATAATATGTGAGTACATTTTTTGAAAAATTGTTCTGAATTTTCAAAATATATTTATGGTCACCGTAATTATAGTAAATAAGAAATTATAGAAGTAAATAAGTTTAAGAACTGTATAAATAGAATTGAAAAAATCGAAATAAAGACAATTGATTTTTGACTCGCAGTCAGAACGCTTCTATTTATTTGTTACACATATTTCATGGCGATCCAGGATGCTTTTGCCAGGCAGGAAAACCAATGAAAAAAAGGCATAGAACAAAAATAGCGCCTTGCTGATGTCCCTATAAAAAGGACAAAAATAGCAACTTAGGATCAGCACCAGAAACTCCAGCGCTCTCCAAAATAATGCCGGATGAGAGTGAAGACATTTTTTACAAACGGCAACAGTATTTTTTTGAAAATAAAACTAAACACCACTGACCCTAAAGTTGGACCGAAACCCATAACCATCGAGGAGTACAGGAGGCAAAGTCCCAGAAACGGATGCAACAGGAAAGCAGAACAATATTTTATTCATACGAAAATTTACTAACATAAGAAAAAAATTTTGGCAACCTAACGGCTGCCTACTTATTGGCAAAAATCTAAAGATTCTTGCCTTTTTTTCTTATACTTAAACTTTTATATACAAACAATTCGACAATTTTTTACAAAAATAATTTTTTTTTAACATGAAAAAACTAATAAAATAAGTATAACGAAGAAATATTAATTAAGAAACGGTTAGAATTAAAAAAAAAATCTGGAAATCATTAGAAATAGAAAGGGCCCCAACAATAGAGATGAAGTAAGCCCCACAACTAGAGTTTTTTTTCAACACAATGGGTGGACAAACATCAAAAGTAGATAAGCCTAATGCTAATGTAGTAAACTCCAGTGAAATAATAGATCATAGCGAAGCATTAAATACCATGAATGTATAAGCTTATGTTTAAAGATTTACTCTGCCCATAACAAATTTCTGAAAAAGATGTACATTAGCCACGCTGATGGTCTAGATAAGGTTTAAACAAAATTTAATTTTTAACAAAATTAAAAGCAGAAACAGTAGTGAAACATCTCACACTAATATTAGATTCATTAAATAGAGTAGATAAGGCAATACGCAATGTCAATAGCCAACTAACTAGTAGTCACCAAATAGAGGCATACCAAATATTTTCTAGTGTTAGGGACAAATTGGTATCATCACTAGCAATTTATAACATAGAGGAGACAGTACCAACTAGAATAGAACAAAATATACAAATAGACTTTAGCACTTACTTGTTGGAATCTCCCTCTGACCTAGACGAAGAACAAAAAGGAATCGAGTATCAGATACTAAATTCCCAAACAACAAACGTCAGAATGGCACAGACAACAGTAGAATTGATTAAGACAGCTTCGTCAATCCTACCTGAGTTTGACGGTAAGCCAGAGAACCTACATAGTTTTTAGATGTTCTTGATATCCTGGAACAAACCAAGGATAGTCATGAAGCCATAGCAATTTCAATGATAAAAACCAAGCCAAAAGGTACTGCAAGAAGCTTTATAGGTAATGAAAATTCAATCTGTGAGGTAAAGCAAAAATTAAAATCGACTATTAAAGGTGAGTCAGTGGAGGTTTTGACAGCAAAACTACTGAACATACAACAACGTAGTAAAACTGCCAACCAGTATACTACTAAAATATAAAAACTAACAAAATCATTAGAAGGAGCATACATATCTGATGGATTAACCCCAGAACTAGCAACCGGATATGCTACACAATCAGCTGTAAAAGCCATGTGTAAGAATTGCTCTAACGACAAGGTAAAAATGATAATGCAAACCGGAACGTTAACATCCATGAACGAGGCTATATCAAAATTTACAAACAGTTGTACTGAAGTAACGGCTAGCCTAAACTCAGTTTTGCACATACGCCAACAAGGCTACTACCATGGTAGGTTCCGTAGAGGTTACCAAGGTAACGGCTCTAGAGGTTATCAAGGTAATAGTTTCAGGACACCGCCCCGATACAACAATAATTCAAGACGAAAGAATCTTTTTCAAAACAGGAATAGAAATTATAATAATCAACCGCGAACAACTAGTCGCAGTGATACTGGCAATGTTCGTAATTGCAACCAGCCAGAAAACCAGCAAACTTCACTTCAACAGTACATAACAAAAAAGTGCGTGTACTTAACCTATACCTAAATAGGTATATATCTTCCAAAACTTCTTTTAATAATTCTATTTCAACTCTTTTGATAGACACAAGAGCAGACATATCAATTATAATAAAAAAGGGTCAAATTGATAGTAATATTAAAATTAATAATTCACAATTAACAGATTTGAAGGGCATTGGTCAAGGAATAACAAGCACTCTAGGTACAGTCAAATCAGATTTAAAAGGAGATGATATCTTAATTAGACACAAATTTAACATAGTAGAGGACAATTTTCCAATCCCATGCGATGGAATTCTAGGGTTAGACTTTATAAAGAAATACAATTGCATTTTGGATTATCGAAAAGATGATGATCGGTTAATATTGAGACCTTACGACTTCCCAGAAAATATAATAATTCAAATGAAAAATAGACCAACTATCAATACAATCACAATACCCGCTAGATCAGAAGTAATTCGACAAATTAACATAAAAACTGACAATTCTGAACTTTTTATTCCCCATCAAAAATTAACAGAAGGCATTTTTATTGCTAACAGCATAGCAAGTAAATATCAAACTTTTGTTAAAATCATAAACACCACAGACAAAAACGCAGATATTCAAAATTACAATGTAAAAGCAGAAAATTTAAATGACTACATATTAATTAAAAACACTTCGGAAAATAAAGATAATAGTAAAGAAAATTTGAGAGACTAAATAAGCATTTTCCTCAATTTGCTAGCCAACAATTAAATTCATTATGCTCAGAATACATAGACATATTTGCATTAGAAACAGAACCTATTTCTGCCAAAAAATTTTATAAACAAAAACTACATATGAAAGATGAAAAAACAGTTTATGTAAAAAAATATAGATTACCACAAGCTCATAACGATGAAATAAATAAACAAGTAAATAAACTAATTCAAGATGATATAATAGAACCACCTGTGTCAGAATACAATAGCCCCATCCTATTAGTACCTAAAAAATCACTACCAGGTAACAAAGATAAAATACGGAGAATAGTAATTGATTACAGAGCAGTAAACAAAAAGTTAACTGCAGATAAACTCCCACTTCCAAGAATTGATGATATCCTAGATCAATTAGGAAGAGCAAAATATTTCTTATGTTTGGATCTAATGTCCGGTTTTCACCAAATAGAATTGGACCCGGATTCTAGAGATGTTACTCATCGTTTCAAAAGATTACTCTATGGCTTGAAAGTAGCACCCAATTCCTTCCAAAGAATGACGACTTTAGCATTCGCAGGACTTAAACCCTCAAAAGCATTTTTATGTATGGATGATTTGGTAGTATTAGGATGCTCCGAAAAGCATATGATGAAAAATCTACGGGACGTATTATCAACATGCAGAAAATATAATTTGAAGTTACGTCCTGATAAATCTTTATTTTTTAGTCAAGAAGTTACTTATCTTGGACACATATGCACAAGCAAAGGAATTTTACCAGATCCAAAAAAAAAACCAATTATTCAAAACTACCTAACTCCCAAAACTGCTGACGATCTCAAAAGATTTGTTGCATTCTCTAACTATTACCGAAGATTTGTACCAAATTTCGCAGAATACTCTAGAATTTTAACAAGACTAGTTTTTAGAAAAACACCTCTGACTTACGAATTCTTACAAGAAAACATAGTTAGCCCAGTATATAATTATGAGGCCTATGACAAAAAAAAAATATAGCTTACAAATAGCACAGCAAAGAGCTAAAAGATTAGTGCAAGAAGCTAAGGAAAGACTAAAAATTTATTATGATAGAAGTATTCTAAGTAAGGAAATAAATATAGGAGATTTAGTACTAATTAAAGACGAAACAAGTCATAAATTAGATAATAAATACAATGGGCCCTATAAAGTAGAAAATAAAGATAAGAAAAAGAATTATACTTTAAGTACTAAAAATAAGAAAATTATAATACATAAAAATAGGCTTAAATTGTTAGAATAAGAACATTTCAGTTTGTTAGCGTAAACACAAAACTTAGAATTAATTTTCCATTTAATTACTTCATAGAAATATACTGCTCGAATTAATAAACAGCTTCAACAAGATTGTACATTCATACCAAAGTAAAAATTTTGACCTATAACTATGTCTAAAAAAAAAATACTGCATGAATAAATAAACAAATAAATAAATAAAAGAAACTCAGTAATTACGTAAACACTTTCATGTAAGGTAAACGAACTGAAGTAATTTGTAGTTATGTCATAAATTGCAATTGAAATAGAATGCTCATACATTGACCTTACAAATCTATAAGCATTATTTTAAAGAGAGAAGGTGTAGTGTATCAGAAATGCATATCAACATATCAAAGTTCCACATGCGCCAAAAGTGCATTAAACTTATTTTGTCGCTAATGTAAACAAATTGTGGTTCACACAAAATATTATTGAATGCTTGATTTCTGTTTACATTGCATTTCTATAAGCATAAGCATATATCTGTGGTTGTAAGCAATAACCGCCTAAGTCGACTTAAGAAAGAATTGAGTTATAAACGCTATCGTTTTCTGCAACTATTATTTCATGTCTACGTGAAACTCCTATCTCGTTATCTATTCTATTTAAAAAGTTATATATGAAAGTATTTTGGTTTCCCCATAAGGTTAACATTACAACCCAAATCTTTAAAGCGCTTTTTCTGGAATTCAGGTTTTTCGACTTAGGCGATTATTGCTTATGACCGCAGATATATTTCTGTAAGCTTAGCCAATACTCGTATGTATGTGCATAAGTGTTTAACAGCACATACATATGTTTGTATGACTAGTATGTAAGAATTAGAGTAGATATGTATTATAGTAAATAAGAAATTATAGAAGTAAATAAGTTTAAGAACTGTATAAATATAATTGAAAAATCGAAATAAAGACAATTGATTTCTGACTCGCAGTCAGAACGCTTTTATTTATTTTTATTTAAAGGGAAATGAGAATGCAAATTTTTTTTGTAGAAAAGAAAACGCCATAAGAACACACTGCTTGTTAAAAAGTTCTAGTCAGAAAAATAATAAGGTTGTCTGTGAAGCAATCAATAAATAGGAGTAGTGGAAATATGTGTTGCTTTATTTGATGTTATTAAAAGTACGATTCCTGTGTTCACCTAAGAACAATCGATTTCTTTTTTGCTCGCCAAAGAAATTTGAGTGTACGGATTTTGTAAGAATTTTTCGCCCACCATATTTTGTCCGTGACGGATTTTAGACTCTAAACGTTTGGCAGCCCTGCATGATGAGTTACTTATAGAGTGTGGTTTTCGTACGTCGACTGAGGACTTTACTCCTGACTTGCCTACTCAGTCCAAAGTAGCGCTTGTTGGAATGAGTGATTCTGCGTTGGATTTCCATGCAGACATTATTATCGGTGTTATTGCTGATTCCCAAGCAAACGAAATTCTCTACTTTCTCGAAATTATAACTTCAACAGTGTTGTGGGTGCAAAGGCGAGAATGTGGTGACTGTTTGTTAAATTACAGGAGATACTTCGCCTTGTCCTCGTTAGCTCTTATTATCTTCTCCACCATCAGATTAAAAAAGTCGCATGAGAGGGAGTCACCCTGTCTGAAAGCCCGTTTTGTAGCGAACGGCTCGGATAGGTATTTCCCAGTTCGGACGAAGCTGGTGGTATTGCTAAACGTAATTTTACACACCCGTATCAGTTTGGCGGGGTTGCCAAACTCAGACATAGCGGTGTATAAACAACTCTTTTTAGTGCTGTCGAAAGCGGCTTTAAAGTCGACAAATAGGTGGTGAGTGTCGATCATTTTCTCGCGGGTCTTTTCCAAGATTTGGCGTATTGTGAATACCTGGTCTGTAGTGGATTGGCCAGGTCTAAGGCCACACTGACAAGGTCCAATCAGTTCGTTGACGGCAGGCTTCAGTCTTTCATATAATACGCTCGACAATACCTTATAACCTACGCTTACCCCGCGCGACCGGCGCGCATACCACGTCACGCTACGCCGCGGCCCCCATCCCCGTCTCCCACCATGCTGTAACGCAGGTAGATTTATTTTTTGTATACGTTGAAATAAAATTTTTATATATTTTAAACATCGAGGGCTTATATTCAATAATACCCTCTATCTGCACACTTTTCACAAAGATGAGATTCTGATATAAAAATCCACCTAAGCTTCACCTAGTGAATCATCAGTGATATTAATGCTACCTTATATAACGACAGGCCCAGATGGTTTCTAAAATCACAAATTGGTTTTTGGGCAAATTGCACTTTTGTAAAAAAATGACATTTCAATACATTTTTGTGATATCCTTTGCATGCACTTCTTTTTCTCAACTAAAATTTTCTAATTTATAAAGGCTATTCAACTGGTTTATCTTATTTTATCATTGGACTTTTGTTTGGAAAATGTAGCTTTATTTTATTGCTAAATGTGAATGATTAAAAGGAATGACACCTTTTTTTGGCACTTTTATTTTTCTGCGATTTCTGCTGTGTTTTGGGGCAACAACTTGTCTGCAGTAAAAAAGCATATAATTAGTGTTTCAAAAGTGTGTGAAAACCAGTCAATTAACTTATATCATCTCCGTTCCGATATTAAATAATCAATAATTCTTTATACCCGCATTTTGGCACATTGGCTCGTTGAATGTGCCATCTAATAAATAGCGTCGTCGTTCTCCTTAGCTGCTTTTAAATGAGGTCGTCACAAATTGCTGGCGGAGATATGAATACAGTGTAAGAAAATTCTTTTTCTATAATTGTTTCCTTATAGAAAGGTTGGTTTCTTTTCCACCTTAGACATAGGCGTAGCCAGAACGAAATTTAGGGGGGGCCCATACAAAAAAAAATCAAAACCAATAACTTACTTACTAAAAGATTGTTTATTATAGCTTAAAATTATTGTAACCATTTGTTGTACAAAAAACATATAAACAGAAGTTCACAAAAGTTGATATAAAACAATTCGTCGATTTAAATAGTTAACTTTTTATTGAGCATGTTTATCTTATGAGGAGGAAGCATCGAAAGCCTAACCCCTTCAGTGTGAGTCTTTAACCCAAACTAAACTTCCTACCGTCATGTACCGTTCCCCTCCCGGTACCGCCTTCAAGGATTTCGTCGGGATTATAACACTGTGTGACTGATAAGGTTATAGATATATTCTATTCTTCTTACTTGGCGCTGTAACCGCCAAAGCGATTTTGGCCAACTGACGCCAATTGGAAATGCCAAGTGAAGCCAGAAAACTTTCAGAGGTGGGGCGTCGGTGTCCATTCGAGCGACAAGGTAAAGCCAGTTGAACCGCTGTATTTTAATTCGCTATATACCAGCACGGGCATGATGAGAGACTTATAGTGTGGTCGAGAGAGGACATTACTCCTGAATTGCCTACTCAGTCCAAAGCAGTACTTGTTGGCAAGAGCGATTATGCGTTGGATTTCCATACTGACATTATTATCTACCTTTCTTACCTTCCTCGCCCCGTCCATCGCATTTCGTGAATGGCGGTGATGTCAGCCTTTATTTTCCCTAGGACATAAACCAGCCAGGCACCATCCCGATTAAGGATTCGGATATTTCAAGTGCATACCCTAAAGTCATAGTCTTTCCTATGTTTGCCGTGATCGCCATCAAAAGAAGGGGGTATCATCCGAGGCATGTGTTTTTTTTTCATTGGGCAGGGTTTTAACGTGGCGGGACCCTAACCCAGCGCACGCGGGCCACTCCCAATTGAATGGCAGTCAAAAGCTTTGCAGTACTGGGAAATGTACAAAACATAGTGGTCAAAAGCGAATATCTCAACTAAACCCTGATGTATTTTTTAAATTCATAGCTCTACATATCTGTACAGTAAACCAAATAGCCGGACCAGACGTTATTCAAAACAAAAAATGTAAAAAAATAAACTTTTTTCCGTATACTCTGTAATATTCCTCGGCAATATTAATAAATAAAGGTAAACTAATAATTTATAATCAATGCTTTGCAGCGAAATATCTACTCCTAAATTATATACATAGGTATGTATATTCATTTATGCTAAATATATTACTTGGTTTTGTTTTGTCACCCTTAAGAAGTAAACGTCTTGGCTGTTCACCTAACCGGTCTATAGTTTTATCAATAATCTCAGATACAAATCTTTCGTTGTACGCTTAGAAAAGACACAAACCTAAAGACAAAGTAATAAACAATTGCACTATTTTTGCTCATTGTCGACTGCAGGCAGGTTTTTACCCTTTTTAAATGGAAGTGCTTTGAAGTTAGAGAGAATAACTTGATACAGAACCGGATGATCCACATATCCACTTTTTAAATCAATTTACTAATTATTTTGATAGCTTTGGGAGTATAATTTGTTAAACAGTATATATATAGGATAAACCTTGAAAGTTAGAGGGGCCGAAATTATCAAGCAAGCATTTAGTGGTACTATTTTTGAATATCTAGGCAAAAATTTGGAAGTTTGGGGGGGGCCGGGCCTCCCCCCTTGCCCCTACCTGGCTACGCCCATGACCTTAGACATTCCGAATTCGTTCAAAATATGCTAATTTAAAACACAGAATTCTTTCAGTGTTCCTCCGAGGTTTTTGAACATGGACTCCTTCTTCAATTTAATAGTGTTCTCTTTATTTTTGTGGAAACGGCACACTCTTTCTTCAAATAATTCTCGTATTCCAGCTGGGCGCAGGCGTTTAGTTTATTATTTCCATTGATCTTGTTACCTGTTACCCAAATGTATCGTAAAAAAACCAAAAAATTGATCAATTGCATCTCTCTTAAGTATATAAGTATCACGTTAGGAAAAATTGTTCATGAAATACTATTTGGTTTTACACCACTAGTTTTTATTACTGTCAATAACACACATATTCACACATATAGATTTGGATGTACATGAAGGAAAATATTTTACATATAATCATTTGCACAAACACGTATCACTTTTGAAGTACATGGATCAACAGCCGGCAGGCTGTCAGCCTCAGCAGCTTTGTTGTTTTTCAGTCGCGTTATTGCTATTCGTACTTCGTCATAGTCAGGCGATTCCACATCGACTCCGTCATCATCGACGGCGGGCTCGGGTTCTTCTCCACAACCTTCGGTGCTGCTACCATTCAGTAGGATGGAAAAGTGTTCCATTCATAATTTAGGTACGTTCAGAGCATCGGTAACTAGCCCGCCGTTGATGTTCTTACAGGAGTATGCGCTGGTCTTGAAACATTATGTAAGTC